GATTCTATGATTCTATGATTCCTGTAGAAAAAAAATCAGAAGACACTTTAGTTAAGTAGGAACAGATTTTGAGGAGTTCATGGCCAAATCAGTGAGGTGAGAGGAAAAACTTTAGCAGTCTTCAGTTCTTACTTTTAATTTTAAAGAGGAGATATGCAGACCTCAGAAAATTTTAGTAGATGTTAAGCAAATATCATATAAATGAATCAATCCACCTGTTTCATCATAGGAAGGTCAAGAACCTTTATACAAGCACGAGCCTTGATATTTGTTTTTTTTGTTAGTCTCTAGAACTTTTCTGGAAATTTTTGCATTTAAGTAGGCTTTTTATGTGATTGATCTACTGGTAGTGCAGTGCATCTTTATGCATTTCTAAGCGGCAGCATTGACAAGTTATGATGAAACCTCTATGCTGTTTTTGCTTCCTTGTAGAACACTGTAAACTTAGGAGCTTCCACAATCTTGTTCTTCTGTTGTTGCTCTGTCATTTGCAAGAGACTTGGGAAGTATGAGATGCCACAAGAATTGTGATTGTGTTTTTATTGAAATCTGAGAAACAGATACAGCTTTAGCTGGGACACTCGTTTGTCTATTTCTGTCTGTCTTCCCCTGAACTCCCCAAGGATATAACCAAGTGGCCATTTGTCCTGTTCTGTTTGGAGCAGTTTGTGGCTATTGAAAGGACTGGCTGGCTGTTGCCCTTGGGAAATACTTCCCTGTGTTTATAACTTGAAAGATTTCATATAACACTTTTCAGATGTTAGCCCACCTAACAACATATGTAGAATTCTCTGTGCTTGGCACATAAAGCATACCTTTAAATCTTACCTGTCGACATGAAGTTAGCAGACAGAGGGACAAGCTAGAAACAGATGGGACTTGGAAGAAAAAAGTCTATAAATGGATGTTTATAGTGTTCTTTTCTAGATACATTATTTCTGAGTTTTAAGAGTTTCTAGATTCTAAAGTAGCCTATTCTTTTTTTTGCCTCATTTTTTAACTTCATTATGCGAGCATTGTAAGTAATTTATCTTTACTCTTTGTTGCAACATTGTTTTGCTCATTATTTTTAAGATACAAAGCTACTCAGAAAAATGGGAAGACTTTGTTCTTGCTCTCACTTTTTGTCCCTAAAGCTGAATGAATCATTTTGAAGGGAAAGCACTGGGCAATAGATGTCTCCTTTTTGCTTGGCTTTACATAATGTTCTAATTGTTACGTGACTGACTTGTCTACCATTTGATAATATTGCCCTTGGTAGTAATTACTGAGTTGATGAAGTTTATCCATTGATTGGCCTACAAAGTAAAATTTGGAAATGTTGATTTAACTCTGAGTCTTTTATTGGAATTACGCTGATATAATGTGTGATAAAGTAGCATATGACGAATTACATTTCCCCGAGCAATGAAACAGGTGTAATTCTTGTCTGTGCTTATTCAACATGGATGCTAACTTTTCTTGCACATCTGCATTTTAGGCTCAGCAGCTGTTATCTGCTTGCATAGAAAAAGTAGATGTTTCTAGCACAGAGGGATATGACTTATTCATCACACAGCTGAAGGATGGTTTAAAAAATACCTCACATGAAACAGCAGCAAATCATAAAGTTGCAAAGGTAGGAATTTCTCTCTGGATTCCCATGTCTGGTTTGCTTGGCTGCCCTTATTGAAGCATACAAAATGCTTGACTTAGTGTGGTGGATTTTGTTTGGGGAGGATGGAATGTAATATGTTTTCCTTAGTTCCTCTGTGAGAATTTTCACATGTTAAGAGAACAAACAAGGTTAGTTTCTTGCTGATAAACCCAACTGAGCTTAAAATCTGAAGTTACTGACTTTCCTTGCATTATGTCCACATTGCTTTTGTGTGTCTGTTCTTCTCTTGTTTCTTGAAATCAGGAGAGGGAGCAAGATGGGTGTATGTGTTTGCTTTTGACATCTTTGTGATCTATTTGTTCTTTAGATGTTAAAATTTAAAAATATAAACTAGGCACTTTTTTCTTAATTTAGTGGGCAACGGTTACGTTCCACCTCCCTCATCATGTTTTGAAGTCTGTCGCCAGTGCCATTGTAAATGAACTCAAGAAGATAAATCAAAATATTGCTGCCTTACCTGTAGCATCCTCTGTGATGGATAGGTTGTCTTACCTCTTACCCAGCGCACGACCAGAACTTGGTGTGGGACCTGGTCGATCTGTTGACAGGTATGTTACGTGATGAATTTGACCCATTAGTTATATCAAAATAAGCTCTTAGATGACTTTAATTTGCCAAAGGAATTACTCCTGTTTTGTACTTTCTTGCCCTTACACGTACTGTTAATTAACTGTTTAATGCACAATGCTCTGTACATATTCCTAAACTTAGAGAAACCTTTATGGGTGCCACAAGACTGTTTTGTTTGGATTCTGACTTTAACGTCAGGCAAATTGAATTCACTTTGCTCTTAATCCTATCATATACTTTCAGAAAGGTAACAATTGCAGCCCTAAATATAGGTCCCTAGGTGATATTGCAACAGATTAATGTGATGTATTCATCTAGGCTGTACTTTTGATCTTGCTTGATTATGGGTTTTTTCTGATCAGACAGGTGCATGTGACTAGTTACTTAAGTTACTGACTTTACTCAAACTAGTACTGAAACCTTACTGAGACTGCAATGTTGAGGTGTTCAGAAACTGTAGACCTTTAAGAGCATATGTATGCCTCTTGAATGCAAAGAAAGCACTTGTTTTGGGTGAGTGATAGAGACAGAGCAGAGATAGAGCATACATACTGTGCTACATCATGCAATCAATTCCTTTTCCTTCATGCAAGAAAGTTATGTCCATGTTTTGTGTTTTAGAAGTTTAGGAAGTTGTTACCTTTGCAGAGTGTGTGTATATATACATATATATATACATATATATATATATATGCACTACTTCTTAGCTCTCTACTCACCTGCTGGTGTTTGGGATCAGAAAATTTGACCTCAGACTGTTACTTTGTCTCTTTCTGATCCCAATGAAAATGTGTACACAAGTGAGTAACCCGTTATTTTAACCTTCATAAGTCAAGACTAGTTAGAATATTGATAAATCTTCTAAGTCTATATACAGATTCTTTCTTGAAAGTTTCTGTGCAAATATTATTTCGCAAGCGTATTTTCATTTCTTACAGTTCAAATAATTTAATAAAATTGATTTAATCTCTTACTTCCCCTCCCAAAGCTGCCAGGTCTACCTGTACCTCGCCATACTGTATTTTTGATTAGAGCTCTCCGAGATCTGTCTCTTGAGATGATACTATGTCAGGTTAAGACAGCCCTTATGTGGGTGTTGAAAGAATAGTTTACTTCCTTGTTAGGAAATGGTTAATTTATCCATTCTCTTAGAAGACTGAAGCTGAGGGACGGAAACAAGAAGTGAGACACTTTACTATCTAGCAGCACTAGTTCTTGGGGTGATACTGAAGAACAAACTTCTTTTAAGGAAAAAGAAAAGCTGATAGTTATGTACTATTTCAGATGAGGGACAAGCACTGAGTGAAGGTGGAAAAGAGGAGCATGTTTGTAGATGTAGAGTTGCAGAGGACTTTGTATTTTGTGACTTAGTAGTTAATAATTTTTAAGTATTATAGTATGCAGTGAGTGCGGAATGTTGGGGGGGTTTGTACCATGTATTCAGTTAAGCCTAAATATCACTTTGGAGTGTTTTTAAATATGCATATTTATATCTGTTCAGCTAATAAATCCAAATTTTTGTGGTAGTTATCCCATTAAACAAACCAACTCTCTGGCAGTTCTGTTGGGCTAGATTCTGCATCTTACCTAAATGCAGAGTAGCTCTGAATATCTGATGCTTTTCTGCAGTTTGAACAAATAGGCTACATGGAAGCCTATTTTTATTAATCTTGCTTTTGAGGCCTGTAGATTGCTGTGTTGCTTTTGGTCTTTTGCTGAGGATGTACTTTAAGCACCCAAGAGAACTGTTTAACTTTTCTGTAATTGTTAATGATAATTTTAAGTTACAGATTTCTATCTGTGGTAGTCCTAATGTTTAAAATATTTCATAAGTAGTTAACTTTTTTGTATTCTAAGTGGCAGTTTTGGGTAATGTGGAATTTTTCACATTTCTAGGTCTTTGATGTATAGTGAAGCTAACAGACGGGAGACGTTCACTTCATGGCCTCATGTGGGTTATAGGTGGGCACAGCCAGATCCTATGGCTCAAGCTGGATTCTATCACCAGGTAAAAGATATACTTGTTCTTGGTATTTGTTCCTCAGGGTGAAGGTTTGGGAACCAGAGGAAAAAGTATTTTTATTGTTTTTTATATTTTTTTTTATTAATTCCTCAGTGATGCAAAATTCATAATGAAAAAGTTTGTCATTCAGCTCTTTTCTGTTTTTAAGTGTCAGTTTTTTTCCATGGCTCGAGATTGCTTTTTTTTGTACAGATCACAGAGAATACTGTTCCAAACTTCAGCATATAAAACACTTCTACGTGTTGAACTGGACCTAGTTGTCACCGACAAAGAGGGGCTGCTGAGGAATGTGAAGCTCAAAGGCAGCCTTGGTAGAGTTCAAGATCCTTAAGGTGGCAAGGAGGTTGCACAGCAAGCTCACTGCTCTGGATTTCAGGGGAGCAGACTTTGGCCTCCTCAGGGATCATCTACTCTAAGTAGAGTACCATGGGGTAAAGCCTTGGAGGGAAGAGTGGCCTAAGAAAGCTGGTTAATATTCAAGGATCATCTCCTCCAAGCTCAGGAGCGGTGCATCCCAACAAAGAGGAAGTCAGGCAAAAACACCAGGTGGTCTGCATGAATGAACACAGAGCTCCTGGACAAGCTCAAACACGAAAAGGAAGCCTACAGAGGGTGGAAGCAAGGTCAGGTAGCCTGGGAGGAATACAGAGAAGTTGTCCAGGCAACCAGTGATCAGGTTAGGAAAGCTAAAGCCCTGACAGAATTAAATCTGGTCAGCGACATCAAGGGCCACAAGAAAAACTTCTATAGATGTGTCAGTGATAAAAAGGGAACTGGAAAAAATGTGGGCCCTCTCTGGAAGGAAACGGGAGACCTGGTTACTCAGGATATGGAGGAGACTGAAATAGTCAATGATGTTTTTGCCTCAGTCTTCACTGGCAAGTGCTCTAGTCATGCAGCCCAAGTCACAGAAGGCAAAGGCAGGGACTGGGAGAATGAAGAACCGCCCACTGTAGGAGAAGATCAGGTTTCAGACCATCTAAAGAACCTGAAGGTGCACAACTCTATGGGACCTGATGAGATGCATCCACGAGTCCTGAGGGAACTGGTGGATAAAGTTGCTAAACCGTTATCCATCGTATTTGAGAGGTCATGGCAGTCTGGTGAAGTTCCTAATGACTGGAAAAGGGGAAACATAGCCCCCATCTTTAAAAAGGGGAAAAAAGAAGACCCAGGGAACTACAGGCCAGCCAGTCTCACCTCTGTGCCTGGCAAGATCATGGAGCAGATCCTCCTGGCAACTATACTAAGGCATATGGAAAGTAAGGAGGTGATTGACAGCCAACATGGCTTCACTAAGGTCAAATCCTGCTTGACAAATTTGGTGGCCTTCTACGATGAGGTTACAGCATTGGTGGATAAAGGAAGAGCAACTGATGTCATCTGCTTGGACTTGTGCAAAGCATTTGACACTGTCCCGCATGACATCCTTGTCTCTAAATTGGAGACACATGGATTTGACGGATCGACCGCTCAGTGGATAAGGAACTGGCTGGCTGGTTGAACTCAGAGTTGCAGTCAACAGCTCAATGTCCAAGTGGAGGCCAGTGATGAGTGGCATTCCTCAGGGGTCAGTATTGGGACTGACACTGTTTAACATCTTTGTTGTTGACATAGACAGTGGGATTGAATGCACCCTCAGCAAGTTTGCAGATGACACCAGGTTGTGTGGTGGTGTGGACACGCTGGAGGGAAGGGATGCCATCCAGAGGGACCCTGACAGGCTGGAGAGGTGGGACCTTGTGAACCTGATGAAGTTCAACAAGGCCAAGTGCAAGGTCCTGCATGTGGGTCAGGGCCATCCCAAGCACAAGTAGAGGCTGGACAGGGAATGAATTGAGAAGGATTTGGGAGTGTTGGTGGATGAGAAGCTCAACATAAGCCGGCAATGTGTGCTTGCAGCCCAGAAAGCCAACTGTATCCTGGGCTGCATCCAAAGAAGCGTGGCCAGCAGGTCAAGGGAGGTGATTCTGCCCCTCTACTCTGCTCTCGTGAAACTCCACCTGGAGTACTGCATTCAGCCTTGGGGCCCCCAGCATCAGAAGGATGTGGAGCTGCTGGAGTGAGTCCAGAGGAGGGCCACAAAGATGATCTGAGGACTGGAGCACCTCTCCTGTGAAGACAGGCTGAGAGAGTTGGAGTTGTTCAACTTGGAGAAGAGAAGGCTCCGGGAGACCTTCTAGCTGCCTTCCAGTACCTAAAGGGGGTCTACCATAAAGCTAGGGACTTTTTACAAGGGCATATAGTGATAGGGCAAAGGGTAACGGCTTTGAACTGAAAGAGGGGAGATTTCTATTAGAACTAAGGAAGAAATTTTTCACTCAGAGGGTGGTGAGGCACTGGAACAGGTTGCCCAGAGAAGTTGTGGCTGTCCCATCCCTGGAAGTGTTCAAGGCCAGACTGGATGAGGCTTTGAGCAACCTAATCTAGGGGAAGGCGTCCTTGCCCATGGGAAGGAGGTTGGAGCTAGATGATCTCTGAGGTCCCTTCCAACCCAAACCATTCTATGATCTAATTGATCTGAGTTAAATAACAATAATAAGGATAAAGTTTGTTATTACAGAGTCTCTTTCTCCATGTTGGGTTGTTGAATGAGTGCCCTTACTTTTTATAAGGAAAGCAAATAAAGCAATAAACTTGACATTGAAGTTCTGTAACTCTACTTTCCTAGTGGGGCTTAAACTGTATTGTAACAAACAACAGTTGTAGATCACAATACTAAATTATTAAGTTTAGTGAATAAATACAGCCTCAACATTTTATTACACTACTTTTGCTTATTTTCATATTTCCTTCATTGAAATTATTTCTACTATAAAAATTATTTATGGTATGAATTTACATAACGACGACTAGGCAGTGCATATCATTTGACATCAATATTGTCAACTGTAAAGCTCGATAGATGCAAGTGGATAAAGTTTTTGGAGAATTTCTTATGCTTGTTCAGGAGGAGAAATGCAGGAGATCATATGTTGGAATTGTATCTACATATTCCCAAACGCGTCTTGGTGTCTTGAAATGTGATCATGAAAATGCTAACTTTTAAGAGAATGGAAATTTCAATTTTTTTTCTCTGTCACTTCAGCTAGTAACCACTGTTATTTGCAGAGGAGTGATATAGAATGCTTTATATTCCAGCAGATTGGAGATAAAATAGGAAATACTTGTTGAACCTTATTTTTGAAGCATGCAGATGTACTATTATTCTGCTGATATTCTAAATTTTTTGAAACTTGTGAACTTTTCCAGAGGAAAAAAAGTCTTAGCAGTGATGCTGAGTTCTGTTCTATGTCTTTGTGGTTTTTGCACAGCTTTTGGTTTTGAATCTCTTCTATAGTAATGCGATGTATCCTCTTTTTTTTAATGTGAAACACTGCCACTTTATAATTTGTGGCCTTCTGTATATTTGAAGTGGAGCTTTGCCACTAGAAGAAGGAGAGGACTTGATCACCTAGTTAAAGTGTTTTGTAATATATAGCTATAGAAATTTTAATTGTTACATGTTTTTGGCTCATTTTTATAGCCTGCTTCATCAGGAGATGACAGAGCCATGTGCTTTACCTGTAGTGTGTGTTTGGTATGCTGGGAGCCTACAGATGAACCTTGGTAAGTTTAATGATGTTTGGAGTAGACTTAATTTTGTGCTGAAGAGGTTAGAAATCTTTGGAGAACAAAGATCAACACTATCTCCATGGGATAGCTGGTGCGTTGAGGGAGTGTCACTGACAGGAATGGATTTCCAGAATGATTCCATGGGACTAATCACAGAATAATTGCCTGTACTATGCCAAATTTCTGTAAATACCAAACCCAAGAAATCATAGTTGGTTTTATTTCTTAATTCTGATTTGCTATTTCATTTCAAATTGTTCCATGGCAAAGATGGCAGCCAACATTTCTTTGCAGGGACCTAAACTCAATCTTTTTTATGATTGTGACTAGAACACATCTTGTTTTAAGTGCTTAAACTGCAATGGCCATGCATTGTATATTTGCCTTTATGTGAAGTTGCAAGATCCATTATTAATTTCCTGAATCAGCTAAAATTGTGCATAGTGACAGAAATGCAGGATCTTATATTGATTTTAGAAGGGTTCTTAAAGTAATTTTTGTCTTGATTTATTTGGTAATTTTAATTGTTATTTGAACACATTGTATTCCTGTCTTGTTGGAAACTTTCCTTTGTAATATTATCTTCATAATCCTTGTCTTCTTCTTTCCCTTGTTAGTTTCTTGACATTTTGTAGTAGCATAATTGCTCCTTGCCATGTCTCTGCCTTAGGTATATATTGAGATTAGAAGGCGGTTTTCGTGCTTCTTGGTCAATGCGTCACGCAGAACTGTTTTCAGTTTTGATTTTTGGAAGCGTGCATGTAGAACTAAATACAGGACATTGCTTCATCTTAATAAGATTCCTTGTAATACTGTCTCATAACATTGGAATTCTAATGTATGCTCTGTAGAATCTAATCTGCACTTTTTTTCATGAGGACATGATGGGCTACTGCCTATAGAACAATTTTTTTTTTAAGTGAACTAATTATCTTAAGAGCACTGTGTGTAGGTTCCTCCGTTTGTATATGAATATCCCATTAAGTGATCAAAGGCTTTGTTAATAGAGCTTGCTATTGAGAAACAGCAGGGAAAGCTGCCTTAGTAACTTCAGAGCTCTCTTGTATGGTTGACCACAGTACAGTTCAAACAGTTCAGTTTCAGCTTCACTTCAGGGACTGAGTTTGTATATGATGTGTGTGTCTTTTGCAGTACGAAACCAATGTTTGCTGTGTTTGTTTTTAATGTGAAAAGGTCTGAACATGAGAGACATTCCCCAAACTGCCCATTTGTCAAGGGTGAGCACACTCAGAATGTACCTCTCTCCGTCACACTGGCAACAAGTCCAGCGCAATTTCCCTGCACGGATGGCACTGACAGAATAGCCTGCTTTGGATCTGGAAGTTGCCCTCATTTTCTAGCTGCTGCAACAAAACGAGGGAAGATATGTATATGGGATGTTTCCAAACTTATGAAGGTATACATTATAAACAACCAGTTTTTATTAACTAGTTACTGTTTAAGCATATCTGGATTTAAATCAAAGACCTTGTCTGTTTTTTGTTGTTGTTTTTCAGGTCCACTTAAAATTTGAGATCAATGCATATGATCCGGCTATTGTGCAGCAACTTATGTTATCAGGAGAACAGAGCTCAGGGGTTGACTCAAGGAGACCAACATTAGCATGGCTAGAAGATTCATCTAGCTGCTCAGATATACCAAAATTAGAAGGAGACAGGTATGCTGATCTGCAAAATTAGAAGTATGAAATGCTGCTATTGTAAGTGGTATATGCTGTTTAGTTAAGTCATGCTTTGTGAAACATAAGATTGGTAAGATTTTACTTTTTTCGTGGAGATTTTTTTTTAATCACTGTGTATCTGTACACAATTCAACACTTAAAAAACAATAGTCTAAATTTCTATCTTTAAAGCCAGTTCTATTTTATTCCTG